AGTTATTCACATACACAACTTGACGTCGATTTATCAGTTCGGGGCTCTAGTCAGATGCCATTTTTGAATTGAATCTCTCTCATGCAGGATATTGCTGTAATTTGTGAGAGAGTTTATAAAGTCATGTAAATCAGTTCCATAACCAAAAAACTTAAGGAATTGAATTTTCTCGTTAAAAAGTCAATTTGTTTTGTTCTAAGGTTATCACTAGCGATCCGACACATATTTAAGGTTAAGTCACGGAAAATGTTTTTCTGAAAATCTTCACAAGTGATCGAAATTCCAGGTCTGGAACAAACGGCTTCAACAACATCAACTACTACACAACGGACAACAATCTCATCGATCATATCCATAACAGGTAGGAATTGAAAATGTATTCGCAAAAAGAAAGCAGTTTGAGGTGGTTCATGACACGCATAAGAGCGTTGGGTAAATCAATACTTTCATTTTAATTAATTTGAATGTGTTTTTAATCCAAGCGCATCGTGAAGAGTGTGCGCTTCTGCTCAAATATTTTTAGTTCATGAATTTGTACAGATCAGTCAACAAAATTCTTATCCACCGCTAAAAATCTGCAGTACATGGGATTTTAGAGTTTATACTTCTCTTTGCTTGAATGAAAATCGACTTGAGTTGCAGTTGAAAAAATCGCTGAGTTTCCTAGCTCTAGCGTGTAATGTGTGGTAAAAACGTGAACAGTTTGATAACCTTTAACCTTCTTTTATATAACCGTTTCTAAAATAAAGAAAGTTTCCTGTCGAAATCAGAGTAATAATGTACTTGATTTCCTTTTCTCCCCTGTCCCTCTCTTAATCTTACATGCGCTTAGGTGTCACATTTATTTCAGCAAAAAAAGGCAAGCAGACTTCAACTGTCTAGTTTTAGCTTGTCTTCGGGATGAGTAGGAATTAAGAACTGGACATCTAAACCACTAAACATTCTCGGCGGCAGTGTCTAAGTTTTTCTTGAGCAACGATGGCGGCGACGGGCGAAGATCGAAAATTTGACTTTTAAGAAGTTTATTAAAGGCTCAAACGTGCTCACAAAACAATCTGTTTAAGCAGCGGTGTACAAGTTTTCCAATTTCAGATGGAGGCATGAAAAAATTGCTCAGTTTTTCTCCGATGTCGTTGCAGATGTCTGTTAAGAGCTGGAAGCTTTACTATGGACTCTAATACAACCGAAATGTCCGTCCCTCGGTCGGCAGCGGAGTAGTGACACTTCATGCCACTTAAACGTAAATTGGCGACGCATTCACATTCGAGCAGCGGTAGTATGTAATTACGACTTTTCTCAGGAACGACACGGCACAGCCAGGATCCAAGAGTCCCGAATAGAAAATACGTGAAATTAACGTTTAAATATTTTATCTGCAGACACCAACGTCACGTTGCGATCTACAATGATGCACTATTAGATATGTTTTATTCTCTTGACGGAAAGTTTTGTGTCATACAAACGAAATGCCCGACCGTCCATCGGTCGGCAGTAGAGCAGTGACACCTGACGCTATTCAAACGTACATTACGGACACATTGATGTTCGAGAAGGAAAAACATGTAGTTACTACTTTTCTCAGTAGCAAGGCATCCTAGATCTGCGAGCTCCGATTAGAAAATGTCAGAAATTAAACTTTACATATTCTGTCTGCTGCCACCAACTTCGTTGCGATCTGTAATGACGGACTGTTGGACATGTTTTATTCCCTTGCTGGAAACTCTAGTTTCATACAGATGAAATGTCCGACCATCCGTCGGTCGCCAGTAGACTGGTGACTCCTGACACCAGTTAAACTTAAATTACCGACACACTGACATTCGAGGAGGAAAAACACGTAATTACTACTTTTCTCCGCAGCAAGACATTCGAAATCTGCGGGCTCGAAATAAGAAATGTGACAAATTCAATTTTACATACTTTATCTGCTGGCACGATTTTCGTTGCGATCTGCAACGACGAAGTGTTAGATACGCTTTCTTCAATGGACGGAAAGTCTTGTTTCATACAAACGAAATGTCCGCCGTAGACACCTGGCGCTACCTAAACGCGAATTAGCGGCACATTCACACTCGAGAAGGAAAAACACGTAATTACTACTTTTTTCAGCAACCAAACATCCCAGGTCACGAGTCCAGAATACGAAATGTCAGAAATTAAAGTTGACATATTTTATCTACTGGCGCCGACGTCGTCGTGTTCTGGAATGACGCACTGTTGGCTATGGTTTATTTTTCTGACTGGAAGACTCGTTTTATACAAACGAAATGTGCGTCCGTCGGTCGGCAGTAAAGCACTGTCAACCGATGCCACTTAAACGTAATATACCTACACATTTATATTCGAGGAGGAAAAACACATAATTACTACTTTTTTCAGCCGCAAAGGCATTTGAAATCTACGAGTCCGAAATAGGAAATGCCGAAAATTGAATTTTACATATTTTATCTACTGGTACCAAGTTGATTGCGGTCTGCAATGACGGACTATTGGATATCCTTTGCTTCCTTGACTGGAAGTCTTGGATCATACAAACGAAATGTCCGACAGTTCGTCCGCAGTAGAGCAGTGCCGTGTGACGTCACTTAGACGTAAATTACTGACAAATTCACATTCGAGCAGCGAGAGTATATAATTGCCATTTTTCTCGGCAGCAGAACATCCAGGATCCAAGAGCTCAGAATAGAAAATGTGTGAAATTAAATTTTACATATTTTATCTGCTGGCACCAACTTCGCTGCGATCTGAAAGGACGGACTGTTGGATATACTTTCGTCCCTCAACTGAAAGTCTTATTTCATACAAACGAAGTGCCCCGTTTTCGCCATTGTTTTTAGTGGCAGTTTTGTTTGGAGCGGACTGTATCCTGCGTTTTCGAGATAGCGGCTGGTTTATTGGTTGTTTGAAGTTCGTTTCAGAGTAAGTCTTTCTGCAGTTCGGAACGAAGGAAGAAATGCAGAAACTGTTGCAAATGATTTGTTCGTTGACGTTGATGAGAATGATTAGTGTTAACGCCTATTCTCTTCTTCTTCTAGCTTCTCTGGCTGGCTCGTTTTTTGCAAATTTTGCAGCATATTTTTTTCGTGGATGCCAGAATTAGCTTTTTATAATCCGCAAGGGGAGCCAGAAAAAACTAGTTGTGAACTTTCAGAAGTAGTAATATGAATATTTGCCTCATTCTGGACTATTTTCAAAAAATCAAAAGTTTTTCACACGAAAATGATTTTCACACATATCAAAATCAGCTTAAAATAGATAACTCGCTTAACTTTATTCAATCATACCGAAGAAAACAAAAATAATTTTCTGTAAGTTGTGAATTTCAAGCGTCCGCACATGTCGGGTTCGTTAGCACCAGGAATTTTCGGTCAAGGGTTAGTGGATGGAAGATGAGCGTTACTTGTGTTTTAACCCCATTTTGGAAAAATTTGTAGCGATTTTTGACAGCCTCCTTGTACTAACTACAAGATTTTTTTAACATGCTCAGCGGGAAAGAGCACCGTTGACAACCTCAACAGTCAGAGAATTAGTCACATCTGTCGACGAGGTTGCACAATGGTTGATTCATGTAACATACCGTCTTGCTCTAATTTATCAGTATAAGGGCAAACAAAATTCATTTTGATTTTTTAAACTCAACTTGTTTGCTACTAATAGATATGTTTTACAACCGCCTATTCGTTATAGAAAAGCCCAAGCCTTGGAAACTTACTGCGCGGTAGTAAGAACCAGTCCAAGTTTCCAAGGCTTGGGCTTTTCTGTAACGAATAGGCGGTTGTAAAACATATCTATTAGTAGCAAAGAAAATTCGACACGATTCTCTTTTTGGCAACCTTCAAAACCACCGCAATTATCTCTAAAACACAGTAGACGTCATAAGTCTCGCGCCACTTTTTTATTTTGACTCGTGTATTAAACCTACACAACATTAATTTAATTTGATTATATGTCTGTATAGTAGAGGTCGAGTATTATATATATACACCTGTTTAATACGAAAAACTCTTGAATATAAAATACAATAAAAAAAACTAAGTTCAGTCCTGAGAAAAAAATGACATAAAAAGAGACAAAATGATAATAAAAATGTTTGGAAGACTTTTTTGTTTTACAATAGGAATTGTTTATACAGATTTTATAGAGCTTTTGACGACGCATCTTTTGAAAAAAAAATCAAGGTGCTACCATTTTCTTAAGTCGAGATACATGCAAAATATTACAATCTTCCAAACATTTTTATTATGTTAAATACGGTGGGAAGTAGCACTATCATGTTATATTTTTTCATTTCGAGTATGGAAGAAACCATGCGAACAAGTCAATAAGGATTTGTTCTTACAGTTTTGTAGAGCTTTTCACGACGCATCGTTTGAAAAAAAATCAAGATTTTGTCATTTGCCTGTGCAGAGATATTCGCAAAAAAAACTATGTTGCAAACAATTTGGGATACTCGGTATTCCAGTGTTTAATATTTTGACTATAACACCGTCATTTCTCAATGAAATCCAAAATGTTTTTTTAGCAAAATGATCAGCGAAAAAAGTTCTACAAAGTCTGATAAAATGAGAAGTTTGCTGAATACTTTGTGTTTTTTGTGGTTGACTGTCCACGAAACTATCCTATAACAACAATATCATTTCGTCTTTTTTATGTCATTTTTTTCTCAGGACTGAACTTTGTTTTTTTATTGTATTTTATATTCAAGAGTTTTTCGTATTAAACAGATGTATATATATAGTACTCGACCTCTACTATACAGACATATAATCAAATTAAATTAATGTAGTGTAGGTTTAATACACGAGTCAAAATAAAAAAGTGGCGCGAGACTTATGACGTCTACTGTATTTGAATCAAGGTCGAAGGAAGTATGTGCTTAACAGAATTTCAGCTACGCCTGAAGAGGTTAGTTAGCAAACTAAGTAATGTTATATTCCTCGGATAATTCATTTTTGATAGATAGTGAAAACGAAGTAGCATGCTCAAAAACTATGTAACCTATGTTAGGTTTAACACAAACCAAGGTTACTATCACAAACAAATCCCAAGTACAAACAATGAGTGACCAATGTCAGTGGAAATTGGAGGCAAAAACGGTAGCAGGCAGTGAATTAAGTCAGTCATTCACTACATTAGCAGGATTTTGGTATCCTACTGATTTCCGTCTTGATTTGACGTCAAATGGCGTTTTTGTCGCTGATCCAGCAAACAATAGAATTATCATTTGGCCTGCAAATTCGACTGTTGGAATACCGTTAATTTCGACTTTTGAGAGTGATAGTAATGGTATATTTTATGGTAGTAATAGTTTGTATGTAACACTACTTTCGGGCGTGAGAAAATATAATATTAATGGTACGAATGCAGAAAACTGGGAACAAGTGATTGATATCGGAGCGAACGATGTGTTTTATGAACATATATTCGTCGATGCATATGGTAATATTTACGTTTCGGACAGTTGGAACAATCTCATCGTCAAATGGTTACCAGACGGAAGTGATGCCCGTGTCGTAGCAGGCGGTAATTATGCGGGTAATGACTCAAATCAGTTGTCACATCCAACAGGTGTTTATATCACTAATGACGAGGCACTGTTTGTAGCCGACACTGATAATCATCGTATCCAAATGTGGCTAAAAAATGCTGAACAAGGAACTACAGTCGCCGGTGGAAACGGCGCTGGGCTAGCAGCCAATCAGCTCGATCAACCCACTGCCGTAATACTCGATAACAGAAGAATGTACATGTATATTTCAGACGGTGCAAATTTTCGAATTCAGCAGTGGCTAATCGGTGCAACAAACGGACGAACGATAGCGGGCACAGGCATCGGAGGTGTCAACTCAAATCAGCTGCTACTGCCTGAACAACTTCAGTTCGATACGAACTATAATTTGTTTGTACTGGACTCGCAAAATAGTCGTGTACAAATGTTCCGTATCCTCAATGCTAGTTGTTTGGGTAAGGATAAACTTGTCATGGTTGAAAGAGGATATATTTTGTTTTTTCTCATTCAGATAATAATTCATCAATAACGACATCGCCACCCACACTAACATCTACCAATGTTCTACCAACGAGAACACCAACAGCTCCGGGTATGTTCACTTGTTTGGAAGTTTAGAGTCATGCAATATTAATGATACAGAAAAATCACTCCAATGTCTGATCTATTAAAGGATTGCTATCGAAGACACTAACAACAAAGTTCTTAAAAGCTGACACCGTATAGCTCCAAATTTTCTTTTGAAATAGGAACAACGAGTAACCTCGAACGCTGACCTAAGTTAACAAGCATCGTTTCGGATCACTTAAACTATTCTGAGAATTCTTGTTTCAATGAAATGAAACTTTTACATGCTAAGCCCCTTGTTGCGTAACACACCTACATGAATTTGCAGTAGAAGTCGAACGTTTATTAAGATGAGAAAGGTATCAGATGTGTTTCGTATCGAGGATCGTGAGATATTTCGCAAAACATCCAGAGAGGTGTTGGCTCATTGTTTAATATTCAAAAGTATATGTATCAAGTTGTCAACTCGAAATCACTGTAGTACCGATCAGAACAACTAATGGTTGCTGTAAAATATGATTGGGTAGATAAGCATGCATTCCAGTTGAGGATTCGCGAATCTCAGAAGAGTGCTACTTTTTACTAACTCTTGTCTGATAACATATTAGCCAAGATCCAGACAACTTTGTGAATTGATTACCAAGCTTTGTCCTCTCCTTCTTATTTTTGGTTGTTTGAAGAAACAAAAATTATAGTGCGTAATAGAGCCTGTAATTCAAATTCGAAGGAGTAAGAACAGTGAAAATAATAATCATTATTTTTTCCCTGTGATACATTAAGATAAATTCGGAATTTAAGTTCATCAATCATAGAGGAACTATTCCCGTTGTCTATCGCACTTTTAAAATAGGGACTCTTTTCCAAAGTTGCATAATGAAATTTTCTTACATACGCCCATATAACGCTTACTATTACTGCTGAGTGGAAGAGTGGTAGGAAACATTTAGTAGAAAATTTTAGCTTTCAGTCGCTTTTTGTTGATCACATAAACGCTTGACATCAGAAAGTGGATTTGCGTCCAGATTGGGAATGTCGGCCTCTCGCAAATTTTTAATGACGGCGTCTTACTCAGAACTTGAAGATCTTTCGAATGAGGCACGTCTCCGTCTTTGCAGAGACAGTTATAAATACAGTGAGCGATACTTGGTGGAGACACTCTTTTTCTTCCAAATATTGACTGAGTGAACTTTTTCCATTAATTCCAATTTAGAGGAAGCAAGACTTAATCTTTGTCCGTCAGCTGTTTGGAACTCAACTGGTATAACGGTAATTGATCAAATCGGTGGACCGTTCGAGCTTGTGATAGATTCTTCAAATACCAACATGTATATAAGCACTACGTCTAATCTAGTCGAGTGGTCATTGAATTCATCAAGTCTTACTAATATACAAGATGTACAACTACCTGGTAGTCTGTTTATTGACAAAAATGACAATTTGTATGTAATTGATAAAATTTGTACGTGTTCGGACATCGATTACGACTTGATGGACTGTGGTTGCGTAAAAACATTTTCTGTTCGGAATCCTGGTGATGACAATAACGTTTCAATCGTGGTTGGCAAATATGCTCAAAATTCAGGTCTAATGTACGGATTGACTGTCGATGCAGATGGTAATATATATTCCACAAATGTTGCATTTAATCGTATTCAAATGTGGATGCAACCAAACATGTATATAATGAGAGTCGTTGCTGGTAACCAAATTGGTTATGATCCTGGTAAACAATCTTATCAGCTTAATACTCCATGCGGAATCGATGTTGACAACGAAAGCAGCTTATATGTGGCCGATACCAATAACAACAGAATTCAAAAATGGGCAAAAAACGCTCAAACGGGATTAACAGTAGCAGGTGGGCATGGCAGTGGTTACGCGATAAATCAGTTACACTATCCACAGTATGTTATTGTGGACAACAACCATAATTTGTATATTTCGGACAGTGGAAATAATCGGGTGGTTCGATGGCTGTACCAAGCACAGAATGGAACAGTAATTGCTGGTGAAGGTGAAACGCTGTTAAACAATCCATTAGGAGTAGGATTTGATTCCAATTATAACTTGTATGTAGCCGATTCGAGAAATGATCGGATATTGCGGTTCAATCTGCTTGATAATGGCTGTAATGGTGAGTAAATACCATTGTTTCCTGACTTAAAGCCGAAGTTCATGAAAACTGAGGACCTGTGCTCTGCTCATCCAGAAAGAGAACTGCTTGATATACTGAAGGTTCATTTCCGGTGATCTGCTTGTCTTGTGTTCATCTGTTCTAACATGTCAGTGACCGATGTGACACTACTTAATAACTTATCGTATATAATACAACGATTATCTTTAGTATTAATTATTATCAGGTATTATCTTTTACATGAGATTACAGAAAAGTCTTTCAAAATGGTTATTTCCAAAGAAAAACAGAAGAAGAAACTGTTCAAAAAGGGAACTTCATAATTCCGCTCCGAAACATCCCATTGTTTTGTGACCAGTTCCCTGAACTATGGAATGGAAGTGGTAGATTCAGAAAATCTTTTTGATGCTAAAAAGCGAAGATTCTGCTCACCAAAAAACCTAGAAAACTTGTTAAAATATACCAGAAATATGAGGAATTTCCGAGAAGCTGTAGAATTATGGTTTATTTTGTTACACATATTATCTTTAAGCTGCACAGTCGGATTTTCAATTGGCCAGAGATGGGCGAGTCAGTAGTGACTCGGACTAAAGGTAAGGCCAGATACGTTTTTGACTGACCTTGACCTCAGACTACTATCGACGCCAGAAGTCAAGGTAGGTGGATGTTTTTTGAATAAGTGTTTTTGAGTCTCGTGACAATATTTGTTTTTAGAAAAAGTTTTAAAAATCTATCGAAAAGCCAGTTTTACGAAAATTAGGGTTTTCAGGCTGTTTTCACTCAATATTAAAACATTCACTATTCACTC